TTTTGGTATTGTAGTAGTCATTCAGCGCAATTTTAATGAATGATCATTTGCTGCACAATTTGGCTTTGTTTGCCGCTACTATATTTCATTGATAAAAATCTAGATCATGGGCTTGTGCAAATGTTTTTTGTTTTATTGGGTCTCTAAGTGAAAATACTTTCACGATAGGGAGTTTGAGAAAGAGATAGTTAGATGATAGCTGATTTTTTTTTTTTGCAAAAGGTGAATATTTTTTGTTATGTGATTATTATCCAATACATATTCTGGAAAATGTTAACGTTACCAACTGAAAAACTGTTTATAGAAATTATTGACTATTTTGGAGAATAAAAGAAAATCAATTCAGTCGGAAAGATTACTTCTTAAAAGAATTCTCAAAAAAGAAGAATACCTTATGACTGATTTTTAATTTTTAAAAATAATTTTTCAAGGCCAAAAGGGGTTACAAGATCCGATAACTGTAGAAGAGAGTAGCCGATTTCATCCAAACGTTGTGCATCGTAATATATTTTTCCAAACTTACTTGAAGATCGAAGATAGGAAATTTCAGTCCACCCCTTCTGGTAATTCCCCCGAAACTGGTAAACAATTTTCAATATTTTAAATCCAATATTGGAGGAATGGGATGTCCGATTTGAACAAAACATATTTACCAAGCATAGACCAAGTCCGAAGATGGGACCCATTGTTCACTCCTTCTGGTACCTCCCCCACAAATGGTTAACATTTTCAATGTTTATATAACCAATATTAAGCGAATTGAATGCCCAATTTTATTTAAATTTCGCAACATATTATCTTTACCAACCCTTGATCAAGTCCAAATATGGGACTAATTGGTTTATTCCTTCTTGTATATCCCCCACAGAGGGTAAATTTATAATGTATACAAATTCAATCTTAGGCGAAGCTTTACCCAGTCAATTATATTTACTAAATCTATATCAAGTCCAAGAGTGGGACCTGTCGGACCTATCCTTCTGGTATCACGCGGAATTGAATAAATGATTTTATCAAAATTATACCCGAAACCTCTTTGATAATAACATATACCTTATATAATGGCGAATAATAAAACCTGTGAGTAATTTCGCAAACTATAGGCTGAGGGTATTTATCGGCAACACCGACTGACACTTTTTTACTGGGTTAAAACTATTTATAATGGCCCAATATTTTTTTCCAATAGAAATTTTCGAAGGCCCTCCAGAGAATGTTTTTTAAGCCCGAATTTTTAAAACTATTTTTTTAAGTATTTTTAAATGCTCAGAAGAATTTAAAATTTATAATTTTATATAAAGTAGGGTTTGTTTGGGCCGTCATAACGAGATGTTTTTTATCCCCAATCATAATTTTTCATTCCGTATGCTTCCCCTCGAAATAACCATCGGAGGCCCGATAAAGCAATATATCGCAGTCTGCTTGTCAAGAGACGGCCTCTTGAAATCCCTATAGAGTCCGCAATAATCTCTGCAATATCCCCCGAGTGGGGTACATTGAATCACGTATTCGGTTTGTTTTTGGGATGTTGGGCACGTTTTTTTTAAACGAATCGGTTGTAATTTGGTACTATGGGTTCAAAATGTATAGCCATCTCCCTATTACAAATTACCCACCAATATCACTGGGCCATAATATTTTGAAGGGAGTAAAATTCCTATTGGAGAATATATGAAAACCTCTTGGAAAATATATGAAAACCTCTGAAGGAAAAAAATCGCCAGAGGTCAACGTTCGAAGATATATTTTGTTGGCAGGCGACCCTGTTATACCTGAAGAGATAACTTCATATCTTCATTTATAGCTATTGGATGTATTTTTGAGATTAGTTAGTAAAATCGAATAAGGATTATTTTATTTGTAAAATATTTCGTCCTTGTAACTCTATTAATTGTCTTTTTTTATTATTGAAAAATGCGATTTTTATACCCTACACAACTATGTCGTCAGGGTATTATAGGTTTGTGCAGCCCTAAGAGTTTGTAACGCCGCGAAATATGGTTCCTAGACCCACCTTTCGTCATAACTCGACTAGCTGAGTCGATCTAGACATGTGTGTCCGTCCGTCTGTCCATTATAATTTGTAAACACGATACAGACCACAGTTATAGACCAATCTTCGCGAAATTTTGCATGTAGGATGGGTTCTGCCCAATGAAGACCCCTATTGTTTTTGGTAAAAATCGGTTAGAATTTAAGGGATGAAATGGACCAAATACTTAATTGTTGTCCCTTTTTCTGGTCGCTCCAGACGCAACAATTAATGCCCGAAGATCGCGAAATTTTACATGGAGAACAAGATGCCTAAATTTCATCCAAGCTGAGTCATCTAGAATGTGTGTCCGTGTCTGTCCATTATAATTTGTAAACACAATACAGGCCACAGTTATCCAATTCGAAATTTTACATATAATATTGTTTTTGGTAAAGACCTGAAATGGACTAAATACTTAATTTTTGTTTACAAATTATGGCCCGAACATAGCGAAATTTTACATGGAGAACAAAATCGAGATAAAGAATAAGCATGCTTTGATAAAGATTGGACAATATTTAGCGGGTCAAATGGACCCTGACTTTTGTGTGAAAAATTGCACACTGTGTATTCTATAGCGCGTATATATTTACTCTTGAATGACATAAACCCGAAAAGTTTATAGTATAATCAATAGGAATGGTTGACCTTTAAATACCAATTATACCAATTATATTGTCGTATGTACTCGGATGTGTGAGTTACACTTAAATATTTACAGTTATATTATTTTACATTACAAGTATATATATATAGCTGATCGTTTTTTTCCATGAAGACCGGTGTGGTCAATATTTAATTTTCATGTTCAGATAATAATATGGGGATGAAGTGGACTTTTTTTTTTTGTGTGTGTTTTTTAAAAATTACAAAAATTGTATTCTGGGGCGTATATTTTACATGGAGAACAAGATCAGACTAAAGAATAAGCATGCCTGTTTTGGTAAAGATTGGACAATATTTTATCTTAGCAATAACCTACGAAAATGTTTCTCACAAGATTTTAGGTGGGGTCCTGAAAGACAACAAATCGATATTTTAACGCTTTAATGGTCTTTTGTGTGAAAAATTACAAAATTTGTATTATTTTCTAAAAACATATATAGTTATGGCAAATTTCGAAGAAAAAAGATTCGGCTTTCCAACAATTTGAACCCAATATTTTGATAATAGACCGTTGCAATATATTTAGCCTCATTCCTTTTTCCTCCCAATTTATTGATTTTCTTACGTATTTTGCGTAGCTCCACTTTGTAGGCGAACGATATAAAAATAACAAATAAAAATTCTGTTGTCCCCCATTTGATGTGTATTCAAAATTTTAAAAATCCATCGAGGCCCATAAGGGGAAAATTTGGCTAAAACCTTCAATATACCTATATTGACAAATTTCTGTAACGCTTTTCAAGAACTCGGATATTCAAATTACAGCCATTCGTTCGTTGGGAAAAAGTGGCTAAAGCCGGCAAAATAACAAACAAAATTAAAATTTCAAATATTATGGCAGTTATGGTGATTTCAGTAAACCCACTTAGAATTCTATTCTGATCGGGGTAACATAAAGTCCAGGTATAGGTGCATACAAAAGGATAAACGTGGGACAATCGGTCACATTAAAAATGTCGTCATTCTTTGATAGCCTACATATCTTTTTGTGGAGAAAGAAATCATCACCGAAACATACACACTAATTTCACGAGCAGCTGCTGAAATCATACCTAATATCGTCGTGCTGGTGGTCCATTTGCGTTACAACTTGTTACAAAGTGTGATGGTATTGCATCTTTTCCGACAAGTGGCAGTAAGGTCACATTCGTACAATTACACGAAACTAGTTCTGTTGCATTTTTGTTGACGTTGCCGAATACGAATAGCGAAACACACGTTTCATTTAGAAATCCCCATTATGATGAGGTTTGATTTTTTTATTATTTTGAAAATTGGCTTAAATAAAAATTCCCACACTTTTTGCTGTATTAGAAAATTTCTTCATTTAATTAAAATCAAAGCACATTCTCAAGCAAAGAGAGTTTTTGGTGGAATTAAGTGACGAGCGAATTTGAACGCACAAATCTCTTTTTTTATTTTATGAGTGGCTTGAAGTTGTGGGAGAGAAAAATAAAGCGCATGCGCGCCAACTTGACAATTTCAAATGAGCCAACAAACCAAGAAAATCCAATGGCAGCAAACACCAATTGAAGACACCAGCTAACAATTATCGAATGTTTTCTCAATTTTGCTCTTTGCTTTCTTTCGTACTTTGTCGGTCTTGTTGTTGTTGTTATTGTTGTAATCAATTGCTAGGTGAGGGTGAGGGCCTTTGGGCCATAATCGTGGCTATTTTGTTATTGTTGTTGTTGCTAGTTGTGATTAGTGTTAAAGTAAAGTGCGTTGATTTCTGCTGCTTTTCTGTTGTTGTTGCCGTTGAGTTGTCTCCAACGGTGAGTTGTCACATACACGAATGTTACGGTGCCACTGGTGGCATGTTGTTGTTGTACGTTTGTCTCTTCTTCTTTTGAATTCTTAATAAATCAAAGTAAAGAATATAAATTGGAACCAACACGCCTTCAACAGTCGCAGTTAGCATTATTCAGCCAACGGAGCCTCACACACAGGTGTAGCGAGTGCAAGCTTTGGTCTGAACCCAAAAAAAAAAAATAAATAACCAACCACCAACCAACCTACTTCAATTAAGCCAATAGACCAAATAAGGATTACATGGATTACCAAAATTTGTTTTAAAAGTGAACTATTGCAATTTTATTTGTGGAAAAATCGAAAGAAATCTTTCATTTTGTGCAATAACTGAGAAATTCAATAGCCAATATAATTGAAAAAAAGAGAGAAGCAAGAACCGTTAAATAGAAAAAATTAAAAAAAAACTCACAAGTGCTAAAGTGCCCGAAAAAATATTATTTTTTATAAATTGCCATTAAGAAGCTTTAAACCAAATCAAGAAAAACAAAAAAACGTTTAGTTCCAAGCCAATAAACATGTGGAAATTCAGTGTTTTATTATTATGCCTAAGTGGATATTGTATGGCAGGTCCAGTGGGTTTAAAGGTGAGTGATATACATTTTTTATTCGAAAAATAGATTTTTGAAATCAGACAAAAAAAAAATATGTGTGGAAATATTTAAAAAATTAAAAAGTGTCAAAGTTTAATTTTGAGAATTTTTGTTGAAAATAGATTGGATAGTTAATTTTCTTGAAAAAATTTAATTTTTAAATTATTATGGTATTAAAAAAATACATGTATAAATAGATATTTTTAAATTCAATTACATTTTAGGGCTAATAAAAATTATAATAATTTCCATGCAAAATGAAACAACAGATTAAATCAGAGAAATAAATGTTAAAATTTGCATTTAATAATCCTGCAAATGAAATTTTATCTTCCAATTGTAGATGTCAATAACATTAAAAAACGATAGTTTCAGAATATGCTAATTTCAATAGGTCGCTGTACATGTTTTAAATATTTATTACAGGAATAGAATTCTTCAGAACTTATCCATAAATAAAAGCAACCTCTTAAATTTAATTTGCTATATTTAGCAGAATGGGCTAACTAGTGATTAGTTCTGGTCCCAGGGAATGAACAAGTTCAAAGGAATTATTCCACAAAGGGAACGATTAGTACTAGTTCCTGTTCCTAGTCTAGTTAGCTCCATTCGTTAATTGTGGCAAAATTAACGATCAGTACGCGCTGCGGTTCCTTCGTTGAACTAGTCTCATTTGCCCCAGCTGTTAATTTTTTCTTTCGGTCACCTAGTTCCTTTTGATCCAATCGTACATCTGGGTCATCCTGTTCATTGATCGATGAACAACTGAACTAAATGAATGATCTAGTTCTCCATCGATACAGAGACGAATTTGAAGTATTTAATTAAAAATAATTTTTCTGAACAATTATAGCTTCATATTATATTACAACTTATCTATTATCGCTTGCATGCATTTTTTCAGTGGTTGTGGTCCTTGCTTACATAGTGTCGTAATTATCATCTGAGTGGCGCCATCTCCCACCATTTCTATTTATATTATCCTCATATGTCTGGGGGCTTGGTATACATTTCATCTGTAGGATAGGAAAATCACTTTGAAAACTGTAGTTCGATTCCGTGGCCCATCGTTTCGTTTTAGTATAGGTATAGGGATCTCTAGGCAATAATACACGGTAGGTTATGCCTCTATTTTTCTCAGAAATTAATTTAATTTTTGAATTCGAAATCAACCATTCAAAACCTAAACGAATTTAATAAGTTTAAATTCTTTTCGATAACCGTTCAAGTTATTTGCAACGAAATTTAACCCTTTGTGGCCCAATGTTGCCCACAGGCAACAAAATGTTTTAGAGCATATATTTAAAATGCAGTAGTAGATATATATTCTTTGGGTTTCATATGTCAAGTCGTGATTATGGACGATACATATCACAAGAAAAATCTGAAAAATTCAAATTTTTCGTAAGCTTTTTAATGTAGAGAAGAGGGCAAAATGTGTACAGTACTAATTTGTGTATACAGTCCGAATTATTTAAATCGCTTCGAAATGTACAAATTCTGCCATCAGAATTATTTTTAATTCTTGTAAAACAGAATATAGAGAATACTATAAAATACTTTTTTCGTCGATTTTGCATTTGGTTTTCTAGATATTGGGCTTTTATTTTTCAGAAAAAAAAGTACTGTATCTCCCGAACTCAAGGATGTAGCGATGTCAAATTTTATCCATATCCTATCTAGGATAGTTGCATTAAATCTGTGAACAGAAAATTGTTCTATGATTACGGAAAAAAATCGGGGCTCAAAGGGTTAAGTGAACACAGGTCAAACTTTTTATTTGAGAAATTTGTACCAAGTACAGATGGTAACCCATTTGTACTTGGTGACGCTCTGATCCTCGCCGGGATTTTCAATGACATCACCGAAAATTATTTTTTTTTATTTTTCCCATCTCTTACAATTTAGTTAATAAAAAATTAATTAAATTTTGAAAAAATATGAGTACTTAAAAAATTCACAGAAATTCAACAGCACTCATCATCATTCAATTCCACTTAAGCATTCAATAAAAGACATTCGGCTTCCAATGAAACCAAGAACACACACTTCCAAACATATATAGACATTCCTGAACGATCCAAGTGTAGAGATCCTCGTTAACCATTTAAAAACTTCCGACTTGAGTATTTCTTACAATGTTGCCACCGTTATGACCACTTACAAATCAACGGACAATAACTGCCAAATGTCTGGTGCGTGTGCCACCACCAGTTGTGCGAAAAAAAAAATAATCTCAGACAATGGTCAGTGATCAAGTGATATCACAAAGAGACGCAGGTACGCATGCTAATTTTTTTTAATACCACAAAATCAAAAAAAAAAAAATATATATATATTGAAAAAGTTGGCCAGGCTAGAGGCACCCACAAGCTGGCCCAAGAATGAAGCCAATGAAAAAACTCTTCTTTTACTTGCATTTGTCTACATGTCTTGTAAATACTGACTGAAGACGACGACACAAAAAATTAAGAAAAAGTAAATAAAACAAATTACACGTATGGCCTTTTTTATTAGCAGGTCTGAGAGGCAATGTCTAGAATTTTAAACGTTTCGATAGGTTTTTGTTTTTGTGAACATGATATATGAGAACGAAAGGCAAGTATAAAATTCAGAATTTCTCAAAAAAAAAAGAAGAAATTTACTTGTACAAATTTATGAATGAATAAGAGACGAATAAGAGAAAAAAAGAGAGAATGAAAAAATCAAGAGTTTTTTTTAATAAAAATTAATTTTTGTTATTGAAATTACTTCCGTAAGAAATATTTGGCATTTAGAGGGTCACTAGCCGAGCGGAGGAGGCAACAAGTTTACGTTATATGTTTCTCCATGTGCATGATATGTATATGGTGTGCGCTTTTAGAGGAAATCGGATATGCATAAGCATTTCCTTTCCTTTGCTCTTGAACAGTGAAGTAGTGATCAAGTGGTATATGAAAATTATGTTGTCATAGGATGGCATATAAATGTGTTAAATATGAACCAAATTTGGTGACTTTTATAAATGGTCAAAGGGAACAATGAAATACAGTTTTTTTCTTACGACCCATTTCGATCACTGTCATTACAATATTTCGTATTTTCTTTTTATTAAATAAAATTAGGTTAATTTTCAATTTTATTTTTAATATTTTTTGTGGGTAGAACAAATTTAATTTTCTTTTTTTAATATGTTAAAATCAGAGTAGCCATAAAATCATGAAGTTCAAGTACATTTTAAACGTTTAATATTTTCAGACATAGATTTTACGCCAAAGTGGAATACATCTTATCCAAATAAATAAATAAATAAATAAATCATGACATTCATGTTGGTTGCGATTTAATCTTAAAATTAACGAAAATGGGGAGGTTTTATTGCGACCTCTGCCAACATTTCAATTCAAAGGACACAATTGGCATCGATTTTTACAATATCAGATCACCTTCAAATATATCGAGTTGCTGCAAAGGGAATGGCAAATTTAATATATTTTGCCTCCTGTTGCTCCTCTTGGCATCATTGGGTCTAAAAGGTTTACTCGATTTGTCCTTGTGTTTTTATTCCACCTTAGTAGATAATTGGTCTGAAATAGCCCATCCTAGGTGACTAGAGGCTGACATCTATCGTTGCCTAGATTTTTTTTTGCAGTGGTTGTGGTCCTTGCTTATTTTAGTGTTGCCAATTTTTCTTTGGGCCAGTCATTCCCATATATTTGAGTTATCTTCATGTGTTGAAGGGTGGTTGCTCCGACAAATATAGAGGTGCTGCAAATTGAATGTAAAATTGAATATATTTTTGTCTTGCTGCTCCTCTTGGCAGTATAGGGCTTTCAAAAAACATTGACATCTTACTCGATTAGTCCTTGTACTTTTATTCCAGTTAAGCAGATGATTGGTTTCCTGTAGCCTATACTAGGAGATTAGGGTCTGACATCTATCGTTGTGTAGAAGCAATGCCCACATGCACACTAATAAAAGCAAGGTTGCGGTCCTTGCTTTTATTAATGTTTCCATTTTCCACAAGGTGGTGCTATATCCGGTCATTACTTTTTTAATTGTTATCCTCATGTGTTGATGGCGAGTTTGATTCCAAGAATGACGGGTTACTTCGGGTGCATTTCATCCAGAGCTGAATGTAGGTCACTTTTTAAAATTATTCGAAACAATTTTTCCTCCTCCGCTGGGAATCGAACCCAAATTATTATTTCCAATGTTGATTTCCAATATTGAAGTTCCACATTTTATAATTTTACTCAATACGAATTAATGTACGACCCAACAATGAAATTAACTCATAAAGACTTTTTCACAACTTTCGACGTGGGTTGTGAATCGGGGGAGAGTATCGATAAACTTAGAAGTTCATCTGGCGATGAATGCCCATCATTTAACAATGCTAAAAACAGGTTTAAAAAATTCGAACTCTACCGAAACTTGTTCAATGTCATAGGTTGTGAAGTTCGAAACAAAAGCGACCTAATGTTCTGCTTACGGGAAATGATCAAGATTGCTATGTGAAATTACGTGAGATTGAAGGGCATCGGAAAGCATTTCTTTCATCGGCATATAATCGATATTGTATTAACACTTATTTAAAAAATTCTTTATGATGGAAGCCGGACAATTTGACTATAGTCGATTGGCCAAAGAAATGTTGAGAAAATACCATTGCAATGTTTCAAAAGTTGTTTATAAGATCGTCACAGGTGGTGGAACGTGGATCTACGTACGTATGAGCCCAAAACAGCAATCGAACGAAGACTACTTAAAATCAACGAAAGTTGTTAGGGGATGAAGCACTTCGAAACAAATAGCCACCTGGTTCTTCAGCAAAACTTATCCTGTGGCGCCTGTGTGTCTGAAGACTTTGGAAAAAGTCCGAAACCCGAACTAGAGAACATGAATTATGTATCATGACAATACGAACCTTCCAAAATCGAAATTTATTTTTTATTCTTGAAGATGCCTATAAATCATACTTAGAAAAACAGCAACCCAACTGATGATAAATATTCGTATTTTCAAAAATTGTTATTGTAGATTCGAAAGGTGTCCACTTCAATTTTTTTAGTTTCTTATAATAAGTTTATTTTTTAGCGATATAGAACAAGTCGCGTTAGCGGACCCCTTTCGTCGCGTAATAAAATAGGGTGTACATTGGTGCTATATAGAGCTCCTGCATATCTAAAATTACAGTCGAATTACATTCGAAATCTAGAGTTTTAGGTTCTGGAAACTGAGCTAGATCCTTAGACAACAGCTTTGATGATTTTGTACCACAAAAGATGCCTACACCAATGTTCAACCTAATTTTGACTCAATTTTGATTTGACTCTATAAATCCTAAACTTCCCAATGAAAAAAATAATTTATCCCTCCGAAATGTTTCGGCAGGCATCCTGGAGAAAACAATATGGAATTATGGATGTCGAATATTGAACTTCAAACCTCTAACAACATATATTTTAATTATGCCAAACATGTCTTACAGATATCTACAACAACAAAAAATCAATTGCAATACCTATACACACATACATATTCACAATTTAATATTAACAATTTACATAAGGGCCGCAATTAATCATACAAACACCAAATATTCAACAAAGTTGAATTATTTAATAAAAAAAAAACTATTTTCATTACATATATACATACACACATTTTTTATTTCGATGGAAATAAATTTCTAATTGAAATGCAAGTGACAAACGTACGTTCAAACCATTTACTAGCTACTGATAAAGAAAACACAACAAAAACGCTTCATTTGATTTACAAAATAATATGTGATAATATTTCATACCAAAATCGATAGAAATGAGAAATTTTGTTTTTTTTTATTACCCCACCACTTACCAAACAAACACTGCCATCACGACCACGGCCACTGTCATAATCATAATCACAAAAACAACAAAAAATGCGATAAAGTGAACAACAATGAAAGAAAAGGGAAGAAGAAAAAGGTAACCACCACCTCCACCAGCAGCAAACATGCAGGTGCAACTTGCCCAGGAATGGCATGAACGCGTACAATCACAAAGTGGCGCATGCGCATAGGTAGCTCAACTGACAATTGTGGTATAGGTTGAGCGACTCACACACACACTATAATTGCACCAAACCATTGAATAATATTTTTCGAATTTCAAAATGAAAGCCATAAACTCCCATTCAGCCAATATTTCGGATACTACAAATCGGACATACAAATTTGTAAATAAATAAAAATATCAAAAAATTTGTTTAAACCAAAAACCGCCAACCACCCAATAAAAAAATTTCACTTTTTTTTTGCCTCGCTAAACTAGAACAGAAGTGAAATTGTTTGTTTGTATTTTTGCATTTGTAATGTTTAGGGGTGGGGGTAACTGGAAATTGTTCAATCACTGGTCGTCCGATCGATTGACCAAAGTAATTGTTTTGCCACCATGGGTCACGTGCAGGTTGTTACTCATAACAAAAAAACATTTGAACACAGCGGCATGATCACAAATTCCAAGCATGTCTTAGTCTTATATCCCAAGTTTTTATTTTATTACCCAACTCGAAGAGATTTTCAATTGCCTAAATTTTTTTCTTCGTTTATTTCTAGAAGAACATACCCATTGGCCTACAACAAAGGGCCAATGATGCTGAGGCGGATAGCACCGTCATGGCGGAAGCCGAAACTACAGTCGATGCCAGTCCAGCTGATCTGTCACTTTTGTCTACCTTGACATTGCCCAGCAATGCCACCTCCATTAGGGCCGACATTACCGACAACTTCTCGTGTGAGAACAAGCCTTATGGTTATTATGCCGACGTTGAGAACGATTGCCAAATCTTCCACGTATGCTTGCCCGTCACCTATGCCGATGGTAAGGAGAATACATTCCGTTGGAGCTTCATTTGTCCCGAAGAAACCGTGTTCAGTCAGGTAGGTATCTGTGTGTATTCTAAAGAGTTCGTAGTTATCTATCCTTTGACTTTTTAGGACTCATTCACTTGTATGCGTCCCGAAGATATGGCCATCTCTTGTGAGGAGTCTCAAAATTTCTATGAATTGAATCGTAATTTTGGTATGGTGGAACCTGAGGCTGAAAAGGAAACCAATGATGAGATAGCTGAAGCTGAGGCCCATCCCGAACCTGCTGTCCAGCCCGTTCTTAGCATGCCTGAACCTGTGAAGCCAGTTGAACAACCCATGAAAGTTAACCGCCGTAAACCTGGTCTTTCTTATGCCGGTCAAAAGAAACCCAGCTATCCTTTGCGCAAGGTGCCTCAAACTCAGCCCGAAATGAATACCATTGCTGTCGAACAACAACCTTCCGAAAACACAGAAACCGCCCAGGAGGTTGAAGAAGAAGAAGAAACTAAACCAGTTGTTAAAAAGTTCCACAGACGCCCCGTCCCCGTAATGCCAAACAGCTTTAAAGATAAAATTCAAAATGCTGGCAAAACCGAAAACGTAAATTCCCTACGTGCGGATTTGTTTAATCAGAAACGTAAACGCCCAACAATGTTCAACAAAAAACCATTGGAACAACCTGCCGAAGAAGCCACTCAAGTAGAGGAAAAAGTATCCGAACAAAGTTTTTCCCCCGTGGAATCTGAAATGCCACTCGCCAATACTGAAACTCAAGTGGCCGCCGATTCGGAAATTGAAGCCTCGCAAACCCAAGAAGTTTTTGTGAAACCTGAGGAATCCCATGTAGAGGCTGAGAAACCAGTCGAAGTTTTGGAAGCATTTGAGGAAATTCCAGCTGTAATTGCTGAAGTTGAAGAACCTGCTCAACCCGAAGCCGAAGTCAGCCAGAATGAGGAAGAAGTTGTTGCTCAAGTTCCAGTTGTTGAAGCCGAACAAGAAGAAGACGAAACCGACAAAAATGAAGAAGACGTTGCTGCTCAAGTTCCAACTGTAGCTGAAGAAACACCTGTAGCTGAAGAAATCCAATCGATACAAGAAGAAAAGACTGAAGAAGAGGAAACACCTGTTGCTGCTGAAGATGAAGTTCAAACTGCCGATGAAACTGTAAATGTTGCTCAAACTGAAGAAAATGAAGCTGTCCAAGAAATTATGGAAGAACCCGTTGCAAATACCCAAGATGAAGAACAAAAAACTGCTGAAGAACCACAAATCGCCGAAGATACCCACAGTGTTGAAGAAGTCCATAATTCTGTGGAAGTTATACCCGCTGCTGAAGAAGAATCCCAAACTGCCGAAGAAGTGAAATCTACTCAAGAAAATGTTAGTGCCGAAGAAGTACAAACTGCTGATGAAGCTCAATCTGCCGAAGTAGTTGTACCAGTAGCGGATTCAATTGAAACCAACGATGAAGTAAAATCTGTCGAAGTGGAAACAGAATCTGCTGAAGAAACACAATCTGCCGAAGAACCACAATCTGCTGAAGAAACACAAACTGCTGAAGTAGCCCAAACAGCTGATGAAGTTCAAGCTTCGGAAGAAGTCCAAACTGCTGATGAAGTTACAGCTTCGGAAGAAGTCCAAACTGCTGATGAAATTCAAACTCCTAATGTTCAAGCTTCTGAAGAGGTTCAAACTGCTGACGAAGTTCAAGCTTCTGAGGAAGTCCAGGCCGCTGAAGAAGTTCAAACCGCTGACGAAGTTCAAACCGCTGAAGTAGTACCAACTGCTGATGAAGTTCCTACCGCTGAAGAAGTAGCAACTGCTGATGAAGTTCCAGCTTCTGAGGAAGTCCATACTGCCGAAGAAATCCAACCTGCTGAAGATGTTCAAGCTTCTGAAGAAGTTCATACCGCTGAAGAAATACCAACTGCCGATGAAGTCCAAGCTGCTGATGAAATCCCAGCCGCTGAAAATGTTGAACCCGCTGCCCAAGATGTTCCTGCTGATGAAGAAACTCAATCTGCCGAAGAAGTTAAATCTGCCCAAGAAAACTTCAATGTTGATGAAGTTCAAACATCTGATGAAACTCAATCTGCCGAAGAAGTAGTTGCCGAGCCTGTTGCCGAAGAAATCCAAGAATCTCAACCAGCTGTTGTTGAAGGTGAAAATAATGAAGACCAAGTTGCCAGCGAAGAAACCAACCAAGTTGTCGAACAATCTGAAGTAGTTTCAGAAATGACCGGAGCTGAAGAAACTGAACCTGTGATCGAAACTGAAACCCAAGAACATCAAGCTGAAGCCGAAAAAGTCAATCCAGTCCATGAGGATGAAATTCAGGCCGTTGAAGAGATGCACACACCCGAAGAACCTATGGTTGCTGCTGAAGAATCCGAAAATGTAAAATCAGAGGAAACTGAATCATCACCTTCAACTGAAAACGAAGAAGAAGTCAAGAGTACCTTATCCAAACAAGAGAAACCCTCAGAACCTGCAATTTTTGAAGAAAACTCAGAAGAGGTCGCCGCCGCCCCAGTAGCTGAGACAATTGAGGAAATGGAAGCTGAGAAACCAGTTGAAGCTCCAGAGTCTATGCCCGCCACCCAGGAAATGACAATTCAAGATCCCATCGTCGAACAAATGCTTGAGGAATCCAGTGCAGATGAAACTAAGAAACAAAGTCTCGGCGGATTCAAGCCTGTGGACCCTGTGATGGCTGCTGAAGCTGAGCAATTGATTGCTGATTTTATCAACACCTTGAGAAGAAATGATTTTACTAATGAAAAACCTGGAATGCCAATGGGAATGCCAATCAACGACGCCGACTTTGCCCCTGAACCTGAACAGGTATCCGAGGAAGATATGAACAAAGTACTAGCAGCCCAGGAAATCCTTGAACAAGCTGACCATGCTGCTGAAGAAATGAAGAATGAACATCAACCACAAATTATTGAGGCCCACGAAGCTTCCGATGAAGATCAAACTGCGGAAAACGAAGAGGAAATTAAGGCCTCCAACGAGGTTGATGAAGGCAAAGTAGAGGAAGAGAAGGAGACCTCGTTTTTGAAATCCACTGAGGCTCACGCTGAAGATGAGAAGCCAGCTGTACTTACTGTTCCAGAAATGATTTTGTCACATGTCCCTGAGCAGATTCCTGTTGAAATCGTTGCTGCTCCCACTGAAGTCGAACAACAGGCTGAAGAACAAAGCCAGAGTGATAATGTAGCCGCTGAAATGCCAGCCAACAATGAAGAAGAACAAACTGAAGTGGAGGAACCAGCTGTATTCATGGGAGGTTATAAACCTTTGAGTATTGATGATATCGTTGAATTGGTCAAGGAGCGTCTAGACCAAAAGCCCCAAGAAGCCATGGAACAACCAATGCAATTGGAACAAGTTTTGGGCGAAGCCAAGCCAAATGCTGAAGAGCAAGAAGAGACCGTTGCCACCGCTGAACAACAAGCCGATGAAACTCAACAGCAGTCCGAAGAAGAGATCGTCATGCCCATTTATCATAGGTCAACTGAACCCCTTAAAGTAGATGCTGCTGTCCAAACCGATAGCCAAGAAGAATCGGCGGCTGCCGTTGAAGCTGTGGCAGCTCCATCTACTCAAGAAAAATCAAATCGTTCCTTAAGATCTCGCGCCAAATTGGATCCTCGCAAACGTCGTTTCCTCTTCAGGTCAGACGAAAGCTAAGTTAGAATTCTCGCCCACCAGAATAGCCTGCCCAAGACTGTTCACCTTTAAAAGCTGAGCCATAAATCCCGCCCAAAATCTTATTATTTTAGATTTTTTTTAAATATTCGCTTTTCATTTGATGTTGCTATCAGTCTCTTCTTCATTTCCTTCTATCCCGCTTACTATCTAATGACAAAACATTTAGGTTTTAAAATTCCACACCATTATCTCGACAACGCTGACTTTCCAATGGCCTCGAGAGATCGGTTGTGTATCCGTATGGCAGACAAGAAATGCATCTGCTTCCGCACTGTTTATTTTTTCTTTGAAAAATGCTCTTTAAGAAAAATGGAACATGAACATTTGTGATGTGTTCGTTTTTGTTTGTTTAGAATTAAATTAATTTAAAGCGTATTTTCTAGACGTTCTATTCAGAATTGCATAAATTATTTCGAAATATTATTTTTTTTTGTTTTGTTATTTATTTTGCGATTTGAAAAAAAAGAAGATAAAATAATACATTTTAAATTGTATGTCGATTTTGTACTTTAAAAATAATAAAAAACACATAAAATATTAGTTATTAATAGTCGTTTTCATTTAAAAATGGCCGAAGAAGCCACTCAAGTAGAGGAAAAAGTATCCGAACAAAGTTTTTCCCCCGTGGAATCTGAAATGCCAATCGCCAATACTGAAACTCAAGTGGCCGCCGATTCGGAAATTGAAGCCTCGCAAACCCAAGAAGTTTTTGTGAAACCTGAGGAATCCCATGTAGAGGCTGAGAAACCAGTCGAAGTTTTGGAAGCATTTGAGGAAATTCCAGCTGTAATTGCTGAAGTTGAAGAACCTGCTCAACCCGAAGCCGAAGTCAGCCAGAATGAGGAAGAAGTTGTTGCTCAAGTTCCAGTTGTTGAAGCCGAACAAGAAGAAGACGAAACCGACAAAAATGAAGAAGACGTTGCTGCTCAAGTTCCAACTGTAGCTGAAGAAACACCTGTAGCTGAAGAAATCCAATCGATACAAGAAGAAAAGACTGAAGAAGAGGAAACACCTGTTGCTGCTGAAGATGAAGTTCAAACTGCCGATGAAACTGTAAATGTTGCTCAAACTGAAGAAAATGAAGCTGTCCAAGAAATTATGGAAGAACCCGTTGCAAATACCCAAGATGAAGAACAAAAAACTGCTGAAGAACCACAAATCGCCGAAGATACCCACAGTGTTGAAGAAGTCCATAATTCTGTGGAAGTTATACCCGCTGCTGAAGAAGAATCCCAAACTGCCGAAGAAGTGAAATCTACTCAAGAAAATGTTAGTGCCGAAGAAGTACAAACTGCTGATGAAGCTCAATCTGCCGAAGTAGTTGTACCAGTAGCGGATTCAATTGAAACCAACGATGAAGTAAAATCTGTCGAAGTGGAAACAGAATCTGCTGAAGAAACACAATCTGCCGAAGAACCACAATCTGCTGAAGAAACACAAACTGCTGAAGTAGCCCAAACAGCTGATGAAGTTCAAGCTTCGGAAGAAGTCCAAACTGCTGATGAAGTTCCAGCTTCGGAAGAAGTCCAAACTGCTGATGAAATTCAAACTCCTAATGTTCAAGCTTCTGAAGAGGTTCAAACTGCTGACGAAGTTCAAGCTTCTGAGGAAGTCCAGGCCGCTGAAGAAGTTCAAACCGCTGACGAAGTTCAAACCGCTGAAGTAGTACCAACTGCTGATGAAGTTCATACCGCTGAAGAAGTAGAAACTGCTGATGAAGTTCCAGCTTCTGAGGAAGTCCAGACTGCCGAAGAAATCCAACCTGTTGAAGATGTTCAAGCTTCTGAAGAAGTTCATACCGCTGAAGAAATACCAACTGCCGATGAAGTCCAAACTGCTGATGAAATCCCAACTGCTGAAAATGTTGAACCCGCTGCCCAAGATGTTCCTGCTGATGAAGAAACTCAATCTGCCGAAGAAGTTAAATCTGCCCAAGAAAACTTCAATGTTGATGAAGTTCAAACATATGATGAAACTCAATCTGCCGGAAAAGTAGTTGCCGAGCCTGTTGCCGAAGAAGAAATCCAAGAATCTCAACCAGCTGTTGTTGAAGGTGAAAATAATGAAGACCAAGTTGCCAGCGAAGAAACCGACCAAGTTGTCGAACAATCTGAAGTAGTTCCAGAAATGGCCGGAGCTGAAGAAATCGAACCTGTGATCGAAACTGAAACCCAAGAACATCAAGCTGAAGCCGAAAAAGTCAATCCAGTCCATGATAATGAAATTCAGACCGTTGAAGAAATGCACACACCCGAAGAACCTATGGTTGCTGCTGAAGAATCCGAAAATGTAAAATCAGAGAAAACTGAATCATCACCTTCAACTGAAAACGAAGAAGAAGTCAAGAGTGCCTTATCCGAACAAGAGAAACCCTCAGAACCTGCAATTTTTGAAGAAAACTCAGAAGAGGTCGCCGCCGCTCCAGTAGCTGAGACAATTGAGGAAATGGAAGCTGAGAAACCAGTTGAAGCTCCAGAGTCAATGCCCGCCACCCAGGAAATGACAATTCAAGATCCCATCGTCGAACAAATGCTTGAGGAATCCAGTGCAGATGAAACTAAGAAACAAAGTCTCGGCGGATTCAAGCCTGTGGACCCTGTGATGGCTGCTGAAGCCGAGCAATTGATTGCTGATTTTATCAACACCTTGAGAAGAAATGATTTTACTAATGAAAAACCTGGAATGCCAATGGGAATGCCAATCAACGACGCCGACTTTGCCCCTGAACCTGAACAGGTATCCGAGGAAGATATGAACAAAGTACTAGCAGCCCAGGAAATCCTTGAACAAGCTGACCATGCTGCTGAAGAAATGAAGAATGAACATCAACCACAAATTATTGAGGCCCACGAAGCTTCCGATGAAGATCAAACTGCGGAAAACGAAGAGGAAATTAAGGCCTCCAACGAGGTTGATGAAGGCAAAGTAGAGGAAGAGAAGGAGACCTCGTTTTTGAAATCCACTGAGGCTCACGCTGAAGATGAGAAGCCAGCTGTACTTACTGTTCCAGAAATGATTTTGTCACATGTCCCTGAGCAGATTCCTGTTGAAATCGTTGCTGCTCCCACTGAAGTCGAACAACAGGCTGAAGAACAAAGCCAGAGTGATAATGTAGCCGCTGAAATGCCAGCCAACAATGAAGAAGAACAAACTGAAGTGGAGGAACCAGCTGTATTCATGGGAGGTTATAAACCTTTGAGTATTGATGATATCGTTGAATTGGTCAAGGAGCGTCTAGACCAAAAGCCCCAAGAAGCCATGGAACAACCAATGCAATTGGAACAAGTTTTGGGCGAAGCCAAGCCAAATGCTGAAGAGCAAGAAGAGACCGTTGCCACCGCTGAACAACAAGCCGATGAAACTCAACAGCAGTCCGAAGAAGAGATCGTCATGCCCATTTATCATAGGTCAACTGAACCCCTTAAAGTAGATGCTGCTGTCCAAACCGATAGCCAAGAAGAATCGGCGGCTGCCGTTGAAGCTGTGGCAGCTCCATCTACTCAAGAAAAATCAAATCGTTCCTTAAGATCTCGCGCCAAATTGGATCCTCGCAAACGTCGTTTCCTCTTCAGGTCAGACGAAAGCTAAGTTAGAATTCTCGCCCACCAGAATAGCCTGCCCAAGACTGTTCACCTTTAAAAGCTGAGCCATAAATCCCGCCCAAAATCTTATTATTTTAGATTTTTTTTAAATATTCGCTTTTCATTTGATGTTGCTATCAGTCTCTTCTTCATTTCCTTCTATCCCGCTTACTATCTAATGACAAAACATTTAGGTTTTAAAATTCCACACCATTATCTCGACAACGCTGACTTTCCAATGGCCTCGAGAGATCGGTTGTGTATCCGTATGGCAGACAAGAAATGCATCTGCTTCCGCACTGTTTATTTTTTCTTTGAAAAATGCTCTTTAAGAAAAATGGAACATGAACATTTGTGATGTGTTCGTTTTTGTTTGTTTAGAATTAAATTAATTTAAAGCGTATTTTCTAGACGTTCTATTCAGAATGGCATAAATTATTTCGAAATATTATTTTTTGTTTTGTTATTTATTTTGCGATTTGAAAAAAAGAAGATAAAATAATACATTTTAAATTGTATGTCGATTTTGTACTTTAAAAATAATAAAAAACACATAAAATATTAGTTATTAATAGTCGTTTTCATTTAAAAATGGATAAGGATAATATTCGAAGACAATCTAGTCATGTTGCAATCATCCTGTCTTCAACAGAATTTAGATTTTGAGTCTTGAAATTTGTTAAATTTAGTTAGGTCAAATTCGCGTTTATGTAGATAGAAATTCAAAACAAAGTCTGTTATCGTTATTTATAACTGAAAGCTTGTTATTCCTTTCATTTCCTTATATCGAGTTTTAATTTAAAACTGTCGAAATGCAGCTTCTTAATGACAAAACTATTTATAGTTAAGATGCAGACTTTGTCTCAAATATGCATTTCATTATCTGTCTAGATGTCCAAAAGTAAAAGATATGACCTTGAACATCATTTCGATCTACTTAATTAATAAGTCATTGTTGTTGTTTGTTTTTCACTATAACTCAACACTTTACACTTTATTTTGAAAACCAATGCCATTGCGATTGAATCAAATCAATTGAGAGCAAATGCTCTTGAACGCTCAAGCTCTTCTTGGCCAGATATTTTGTAGAAACATATACTAAATACTCTTATGGTCGAGTATTTAATATATGTTTCTTCAAATATTTTTAGACAGCTACTACTACTGTCACTACTCCTAGGATGTTTGGCATTAAAAATGTGATATATCAGCCCACGTTCCATACCTCCAACATAGGTTTTTCTCTCAAATTGGCTGTAATTTGGTACATTGGATTCACATAACAGTACCACCACATCCCCACACTGAACATTATTATTATTGGCCCAAGCCGGTATTTCTTAAAAATTTTGGACACATTTTTCAACCAAATTGGGTGTAATTTGGTATTTTGTATTCTCATCGACTGTCAAATCTCACTTATTATATATATATAACGGTAGCTCCTGGAGCCGATGGGTTACCAGCCGAACGATTCAAGACTGGTCAGGAGCATGCACCAGCTGATTAGCACAATTTGGCTAGATGAATGCATACCCACTGATTGGAACCTCAGCATCCTGTGTCCCGTGCACAAAAACTAGACTAAAAGACTATATGTGCCAACTATAGAGGAATAAGTCTCCTTCCCATCGCATATAAAGTGCTATCCAGTGTGCTGTGTGAACGATTGAAGCCAATGGTCAATGACATCATCGGACCATACCAATGCGGCTTCAGACCTGACAAATCCACCATTGACCAGATTTTCACTTTGCGCCAAATCCTGGAAAAGACCCACGAAAAACACATCGACACATACCACCTATTGGTCGAATATAAAGCCGCATTCGACAGCCCTATCCTATTCAGAGGTGTTTAAAGCCATGTCTGCGTTCGGCATTCCTGCAAAATTAATACGGCTATGCAGGATAATTTTAAGTGGCACAAGGTCAGCAGTTAAAGTAGGAAAGGACCTATCGGAGCCCTTCAATACCGAACGAGAATTCAGACAAGGTGACAGTTTGTCGTGTGATCTTTTTACCATCCTACTGGAAAAGGTCATACGAGACGTAAAGGTGAACAGAAATGGCACTCTGTACACCAAATAACACATGTTACTCGCCTACGCCGATGACAGCGATATAATGGGTCGAACATTGCGAGCGGTAACAGCCACCTTTGTACAAATTGAAAAGGAGTCTGCCAAAGTGGGTCTGACAGTAAATGGCGAGACGTCCAGTAGACTCGGACCAACTGTGGAACTTGAGAACTACAGCTTCGAGTTAGTTAAAGACTTTATATACCTTGGTACCGCCATAAATAAAACGAATGACATCAGATTAGAAATTCGGAGAAGGATTGTGATGGCCAACAAATGCTACTATGGTCTAAGTAAGCAGTTTAGAAACAAGGCCACCTCCCGCCAGACCAAACTCACACTTTACAAGACGCTGATACTACCCATGCTATTATATGGATCAGAGGCATGGGTACTTGCGCAAGCAGATGAGGCAGCTCTTGGGGTGTTTGAGAGAAAACTTCTCCGAAAGATCTACGGGCCGATCTGTGTCGACGGTGAATATCGGCGTCGAATGAACCACGAGGTTTAAAATTTATACGCGGACATCGACATAGTCAGTCGTATTGAGCTGCAGAGACTACGGTGGCTAGGCCATATTGTGCGGATGAATGAAAATGCCCCAGCTCAAAAGGCATATAAAAATGAGCCTACTGATGGTTCCCGTAGAAGGGGAAGGCCACGAATTAGATGGAAAGACCAAGTAACAGACAACATCTTGGAACGTGGTCTTCCAAATTGGTGGACTTGCGCACAAGACCGACGCGCTTGGAAATCTTTTTTAAGCTCGGCTTATGGAACAACCGTTCTGTAACAAGCCAGCTAAGTAAGTATAACGGTAGCTCCACTATTATATATTTTGAGAATTTCAATGATCTTTTGTTATGTTCAATGTTCTATCATAATTTGTGTTTTCTTCTCGGTGTCCCCAATAATTTTAGATATTTTGATTGACATCCTAATGGAGGAGGGTATAAAGAGTTTGGACGGGGCGAACTTGTTATCGTTTTTACTAGTTTTAATGCTGCAAGCAAATCTCATGCATATTTATATCGAATCTGATGGTCTACCAATACATACATTATTGGGCTGATTCTGAACTTCAATGTCGAGATGTAATTCATTTTCGGAATCGATCAACGTTTTCGATTGGCTGTATCTTCGGATTTCATCCAGATTTGATAAAAAAATATTACTTTGTGCGAAGTTGGTTCAACATTTACAAATTTTCAAAACTTTACCCCTTATTGGGTGAGGTATTAAAAGGAGTGAACTGACAAATACCATTTTCGGATTCAAAGAATGTTTGGCAAATGTATTAGAATTTGCAGAGTTTGGAAAAAGTCGGTTATTCCGCTTGCATTATAACATATGTACTCATTTTGAAAATTTTGACCTTGACTTTGTGGGGGAGATACCAGAAGTAGCGGGCCAAAATACAACACCTTTGGCAGAATTATTAATTTGTTTAAAGTTTATATCTACTCAAAATTTTGAGCATTTGTGGGTAATGTATTAGAGGAAGTGGTCGGACTGAAGACGGGGACTTCAAACTTTAACTTTCAGTTAACTATTTTAATATTAACAACTGAAAAAGCTTCAGCCGAGCCGAACTTTGGATACCATTTGGATACCCATTTGTATATTGAAATATAGGAAACATAACCAAAAGTGGACCTATACCGATAATTCTACAAACCGACTATTATGTACCCCAATTCAATTTTCAGCAGTGGGAATTTTTCCTAAAATCTGAAAACCCCAAAACCTGGACTGATACTGATAGCGCATGATAGAATATAAAATCCTCGAAAAAACTAAAGGGGGAAAAATATTGATTGTGCTAGCTGGAGATTTCATTAGATGAGGGGAGATGCCTAAATTATGGTCGCTATATCGCTAATTTGCTGCAAGACAGGCATAATTTAAAAAACGTGATTTTCGAGTCAATGATGCACTTTTGTTCCCTATAATAGACCTCATGTTGTGTAAAAAATGCATATGACTATCTCTTACATACTCTGTTTGAGGCACTTTAGAATTTCTTCCGTTCTATGTAATGTTTGTGTAAATTAAAAACTTAAAACGCATTTTCTGCAAAATGGTTTTATTTTTTGTTTTGAGTTAGATGATTACAATAGAATGATTACAATAGAGGTCTAAATCGTTTTAGAATTCCATACTTTGTAAGGTAAAAACTGACCATTTCGAGTTACAACAATCCTCCATACTATGATAGAATACGCCTATATGGGGACAACCCCAGAACACTGAACAAATCAGATAATTATATTAATATAAAACCAGTAAGGAAAGTAGTAAAGTCGGACGGGGCCGACTATAGGATACCCTTCACCACTTTGGGTACATTCAACAGATGAATCCTAACAGACGTCGCTTTTTTAAAGGACCAGTAAAATAAAATTGGATACATAAACATGTCATTCTGCAACCGATACTAAATTTTTCATTTGGTCAGATATAGAAACTATCTCTAAATCTGAACCGATTTTCAGGAAACTTAACACACATCATTCTAGAACTAATTCATTACGCTGTGCCAAATTTCGTGCAAATCGAAAGATATATAGGGAATTTGGTGCACCATTTACATCTAATAGGGGAACTACATCTAAATCTGGGCCGAATTGCAGGAAACTTAACACACATCATTCTAGACCAAATTCATTACGCTGTGCCAAATTTGGTGCAAATCAAAAGGTATATAGGGACTTTGTTGCACCATTTACATTATATCGGACCTAAATATATATGGGAGCTATATCTAAATCTGAACCGATTTTCAGGAAACTTAACACATATCACTCCAGACCTAATTCAGTACGCTGTGCCAAATTTCAAGCAAATCGAAAGGAATATAGGATATTTGGTGCACCATTCACATAGAATCGGACAAAACTATATATGGGAGCTATATCTAAATCAGA